GCACTCAATAGCACTTCCTTCATTTCTCCATTTCTAATTACCCAGAGTGTTCACTGGAACTATATTTAACAACCTTTGTGATGCTGAATGGAAATGGAAGATGAAAAATGGAGTGTGCATGAGGACAGAGGGGGAATATAAATTTAAAAGGCCCACATCTCTGGCTTGTTGAGCACACTTGGAGAGGAATTTTATCCTCCTTGACTGAACAAGTGAAACACCTGAGAGCCTCTTGAAAAATAACGAATGTATTATCGTAGAGTGACTAACGACAGCCACCAGAGTAAAAAAACAACTAAATTTAATGTATAAATCAATTTACGCAAAACTGTTACAAATCAAAAACTACGCTGATTTATAGGCCTTCAAAACTATTTGAAATAGTATCAAGAATAACACATAAATGTACAAATTCCTGCCGACATCCAGCCTTGGCTATCTTCCAGAAACTTTCACCGACTGAAACTCCTGAAATTGTTAATGATCTTTATATTTTTGGAACATGGAAGTACTGATTTGAATTGGACCATATGCTGCAATTCATTTTCTCTACGTAATAGTTTTACAAATGCCACTTCCGTCTACTCAGACAAATTGAATTGATTTGTCTATATAGAGACGGGGGGAATGAAAGTCCCTCAGCAATATGCTTCAGTTATGAAGGGATCCTGTAGGAGTTATTCAGTTATTGTGTAGGAATTACCTTCTCTGTGTATCAGAGCCTTTCAGTTTGACCTCTAGACATCACCGACAAATGAAATGGTGTGTGTGTGTGTGTGTGTGTAAGGAAAAACTGAGATTTCATAAGATTAAAGTAATCATGTGGTGGCAAGTTGCTGTACAAACCTGCTTCCCTGTGAAACCTTGGCAGATGACCTTCGTGTTCTTGGTGATGTAGAGGTTCTGTCTTGAGCCAGTGTAGCAGTGCCTGACTCCACTCTGCTGCACTGAAAAGAGGAAGAGGAAAAGTGACCAAAAATGAATACGTTTCTCAATTTTTAAATGAAATATTCCTGTCCACTTGTTCCCTGAAAGGGAGGACTATAACCCAGGAAGGAGTTGGCATTTCTGCTCTTCCGGTTTCCTCAGAAGTCAATGCTTTTAATCAGATTACTTGTTAGTTTGAGGTCTGTGGTTAACACAAACCTAAGATATAAGCTGTCTACCTTATGTGAGCTTTTTATTTATGGTGGGTGAAAAAATCTAAATAAATCATAAATTTGTAGTTTATGGTTAAGATTATCTTGCTGATCAAACTGTGAAAGGATCACAAATGCTTGTTTGCCATAGTTTATTTTCCAAACCCAACGGAAACATGATATTGGCTCGTTGTCAAGGGTAGCAGTGCGATACAAGTGTGCGGGTCGGCCATCAGAAATACGCCATGCGGGTCAAGGTGTGCAAATACATAAAGACAAGCGGTCATAATGCGGATTATGTTTTGGAGGCAAAAACACAAAACAAGTATGAAATGAAAACAGTCGATTCACTCTACTCTCACGTAATCTTTTTTTTTTGTTCACTTACAATTTCTGCTTTTCTTTAGTGTAAAATCGACTGCATTTATAAAGCAACTTTCTACATTAAGGGAGGAAGTGCTTTTCAAATCATTCCCCTCATTTATCCATTACACACACACACACACACACACACACACACACACACACACACACACACACACACACACACACACACACACACACACACACAGAGAGAGAGAGAAAGGTGGTGCTTGCTCAGCGGGGGCATTTTTCTTCTGTGTCTTGCTCTTTAGTAGAAGGGGATCACACAGGCAACCTTGTGATTAAGGAGCGACCTTCTCCACCTTCCGGGCCACAGCCGCCCTTGACTTTTACTGAACATTAGTTTTCTAACATGTTCTATTAATATTGTTGGATGCATGTTAATGCTCTGGGGCTGGTATTGTGCTTAACTACTGATGGAAGTGTATAATAATTCTATCAATTTCAAAGATGCTATCAGCACATTTTGTGTACGGTCAGCTAAAACTACGGGGTAACTGCGTGTTTTCAAAGCATATTTTGAAAGTTGAATAAAAGGGATTCTCTACAACTAATACAATTGGCATCAAACTTAAAGACCACATCTAGTCATTGGGAAAAAATCACAAAGAAATATCCACCACTGCAATATTTAGATTATTAAGCTCCCGAACCAATGCATTTACTGTTCAGTTTGCTTGCATGGATCTTATCAAATCTGTTTTGAGTAGCTGCAGACACGTTATCAGGTTTTCACACACGGACACGCACACACACACACACACACACACACACACACACACACACACACACACACACACACACACACACACACACACACACACACACACACGAATCTGTCAGGTTTCTTCTACTCTGAGACAATTGATAAGACAAAGTCCGCAGTGGCCCTATGGACAAGCTACACAAGCTCATTACGAATACTATAGACATAGTGACAGGTTGGATATTTCATGTATTAAAATCACAGAAAAGAACTCTCAAAATTACTTTTATTTGCATGTATGTTTTACAGTTATTCCAGTATTGTAATAACAATCAATGTTGTTGTTTTTTTAACCTACTGCAAGTATAGAATTGAAAATAGATTTAAAATGGAGCCTAGTTTTAAAAGCTGCAATCACAATTTCAAAGCTCTTCATTTTATTAAATGTCTGTACACGCATAACTTGTGTATTTATCAACCTGGACCCATTTTCCCATGAATATAATCGCTCAGGGCAATTTGTCACCGTCAATTTACAGCCACTAAAAGTGACAATATTATGGAGAGAACATGAAAGAAAAATAAAACATTTACTGATTCTGTTTTTCTATTTTTATGGCATGTTTGTATTATATATAACATTTTTTTCTATTAAGTCGTCTTCCATAATTCCTGGAATGTTGAAAACCCTTTTATTTTAAGCATTAGAAACGGGATATCTATGGCAAAATTGTGATGATGGCTGAGAGGTTAAGACCTCCTATAGTACTTTGGGGAGTAAATTCCTTCTGGTTTTAAACATGAGCAATCAAAAAAGAAGCCTGTAGTCCTTAAAAAGCGACCGGCATGCATATGAAAATATATATTATTGAGGTGGTAAAATCACTACCTAACCATAGGTTTGACACTTCTAACAGGGCTATGGTAAACATTATGCAACCTCACTGACTGACAATGATCTTTGGTCTTCAGTCAAGAGACAGCTGACACTGCAACGTTGCAAAGTCCAGCTTCCCTTTTTAGCTCCATGCCCCAACGATGTCAGCTACTAAAGCTAAATTACGGCTGTATCAATGGAATCAATGGAATCTAGCAAAAACTATAGCTTTCACAATGCATCGTAAGCAGCCAAAGTAAGGGATCAGATATTAAAAAATAAAAATGAACCCCCCTATAATGCTGACCACCTGATTGAACTAGTTACCAATAGAGCTACTTCAAAAATGAATTACATGAACCAACCCTAGAATTACTGAGAGAAAACAACTTGAGCAGAGTGAATGCACAAGCCAGATTTAGTGGAGAGGACATGCAAGGTCAAAGATCAATACTTGCTCCGGCCTACGAGCAGGCAGCGAGTCCAGTCAAACGTTAGATATAGCTAGCTTGTTAGCTGGCTTGCTAAGTGTGACAAAGTTAACGTTACGACAACATTAAACCGTGGGTAGGCTAATGTGGCTAACTAGCCTTGAAGGCTCACTCACAGAAGCCCAAAAGAGGCTTTGCTAGCCAGTGCGAGATTGAGCCAGCCTGCAGAGCTCTACTCATGTAGCTGTAGCGTGCAGCACAAACCCGATGAGTACGCTTATATTACAGAAAGTAAACTGCCAGCCACTACAACTGATAAAAACTAGAATTTACTAAAATACTTACAAAGCAGCCTGGCAAACAACCTGCTGTGAGACATCTTCGGTCATTCACCAATGACACCAGAGGCTGCTGAGGACCCGTCACAGGGACTTTAGTTGACTGCAAATATCCCCATTAACTCTGGATTATTAGGTGACCTTTTAAACATATTTTTGTCTCTAAATGAAGTCCTGACTTTCCACATGCATTTTTAGGTGACTGCCGATGGGTTTTTTAACGAGTTTTGAATACGTTGTAGAAAAAAGACACAGTAATTACATTTCTTTCAGGCATTTTAGAAGACTACTTCAATTCCAAGTGCATTCTGGGTTGTGCAGTTCTAGATAGGGTACTTGAAATAAACCCAGCACCAGAGGTCGCTTTAACCATGCGAATATTTTGGAGGCAACAGTGAAGAGAGGATTCTTTAGAGTTCTGCAGGAAATTATTTGGCTGCTATGCTGTTTTAAAAATAATTATGTGGGAGTCAATGTTTAATTATGTATTATTATTATTTTTAGTTCACTAAATGTATTCAATGGTAATTAGAATGTCGATTCAACTGACTAATTAATCCATCATACATGCATTGCAGGAATTTACTGAACATACAACATATTCAGTATAACATGTTGAGCAAATATAACTTTTGTCATTTACAGTAATTATTTTTAAATGCACAGAGCTACATTTTGCTTTAACTTTACTTTATAATTACAACAAAATGTACTAATCAGAACACAATAACATGAATGACATATGATTTGGTGTCCCACGAGGCCAAGCATCTTTAAAATGTAAGGTGTTGAACAGGAATTTTGAGTGTTGAAAATGTAACGTATCACACGTGGGATAAAAGTTTGCTAAGGAAATGTAATGTGGGGAATAGAATGGTGTATAGATTATATCATACTTGAACACGTGCATTAATAAATATATCATTACCATCTGACGTTACAAACTTATTTTTAATAGGTTGCTTTATTAATTGGTTCTACTTGTTTAGACAAGAGGAGCACTTGAAGCAGAGCCTCATTCATGCTGTATTCAAGTTGTCCAATCAGGAGCCACCAACTCCTCAAACGTTGATTGGTCACACGCTGCAACGTCATACTCCGGCCTTACGCGTATTCACGAAAGCTTCAACGCAATTTTTTCTTCGCACCGTTCCGTACTTCGAATGGATTCACGGTAAGGGCTTACGTTCCGGCGACGGGCTGCGTGCGTTCATAAACGAACGCGATGACATAAACTAGGTCCAGGAACTACTCGAGTCAAACACAAAACCTGCAACATACAGCTTTTCAAGATGGTTTTAGAATCTATTTCAAGGATAATTAAACTCCAGCTTCCAGCCTACCTCAAGAAGCTCCCGCTTCCGGAGACGATCGGCGGATTCGCGAGGTTAACAGGTAATTAACCGCAGCTGTGTTGAACGTCTTGACTGTCATGTGAGGATGACTTCTCATCTCATCGGGGACGCTTTTACCCAAAGTTGCTTTAGCTCGCGCTAGCCTGCCCCGTACAGCCGCCCGATGCAACTCTGCATCACCGCCCCCGAGTTGTTGTTGTTGTTGTTGTTGGTTGTTGTGTGCTCCCAAACACCGTAAACTCCGCAGTGACCTTAATTCACAGCAGTAATCTGAGCGGTAAAGTGTGACATTGTGGACGCGCTGGTGTGTCTCCAGTTCTCTCTCACACACACACACACACACACACACACACCATCCAGTGATGCGCAGACAAAGAAAAGCACAATACTCCAAAGGTCGTTGTTCGCTTCTTCAGGTCTGTGATCTCACATTGAGCTTCTCATGGGCCGTGCTAATAAGAAAAAGGTGGCATGTAATCAAGAGTGGCCGCTCCTGATCTACTGAGGAGTTCATTCATTTTTAAAGCCCAAAGTGTAATAGTTTCAATAGAACCTGACATGTGACTTTAGTCTTGAACCGTTTCTGGTGTTTTCGTTAACAATACACAATAGATTTATTAATTACATTTTTTGCAACTATTTAACAACAACACTGACCAAACCTTTTACAGCGTACGCACAATTGTGCAGTTTAAAACAAGGAACAAGGTAGTTAAAAAAAACGAAGTGAAAGTTCGTTTTGAAGATTTTCCACTTCGACGTGACCTTACGGCCAACACAAGTATCACATTTACACTAAGAATAGCCCCAAAATGTATAAAAAGCTGAGCTAGCCTTGCATTTCCCAAATGCCCTTGTGACAATTGACAAGCTAGAACCATTAAAATGGCTCTCTGAGGCCATAAAACCAAATAAAGCGTGAATATTTCTCTGAGTTTACCAAATAATAAGGCTTGTAAACGTCACATGTTGGAGTAAGTGAGACGTCCTTGTCTTTTGTTTTTAAATCTATTATTAAGCAGGTCTAGGCCCCTAAATAATGTGAAAGTATCAAAAGGCTCCAACCATGGAGACGTGCACACAGCTGGTTATGGGTTTAGGAAGCGACGCTGTGAACGGGACCACGTGGATGCAGAATGCCACAAACACACAGTGTGAATACAGGTGTATACAGCATGTATAGCAATTTGAACCGAAAATGTGAGTACAGCCCCTCAAAATAAGCAGAACTTGTCTCCTTTCATGTTGAGATGTTTGCCTGATTGTAAAAACACGTTTCTGTCAAGAATTCGCAATTATTCAGTCAGTACACATTAGAAGATGGATGGCCTTGTTAAGCGCCACTACATGCAGTATATAGTTGCTTAAATAGATTACGGATTAGCGATGTCCCATTGGTCATTCGTTTTACTGGAAGAATTTGAATTTGCCCCGACCAGGTTTTATAAAAAGTCCCAGGAGGTAACTCATCGCTCGTTGCAAAGTGACATAACTGCGCTTAATCCTCGCTGCCCTTCACTTGTCTGAACCTTACATGTGGACCGTGCAGTGGGTTTTCCCCAAACAAGCCCTCTGGTCTCAGTGAGGCATTCACCCCCCCCAATGGAACGGAAAGCCAGGCCAACCAATAGGTTACGTACGATAGCTTAGCTCACTAAAATGAGGTTTAGACTCACTGATGTTGTCATTTATTCCCAGATTGGATGTCAGATATACCGTAACAGGCTTTTTAATAAACCAACTCCACTTCGGGTAATATTAGATCTCTTGTTTGTACGTTGATGCTGAAGATCTAATTACTTAATAAGAAACATGTACGTTGTTGGTATTGCACCAAACAAACAGATGAAGCAGTATTTGGTTATTATATATATGGAAGCACTACATGTAGTGGAGGAAATGTTTTTTGGAAAGCGGATCTGTTAAATCTAAACAAACTCTGTGCACTGTGATTGGAGTCTGTCTCAGTGGTGAAGTCTAGAGGAGAAGTTTTTTTATTATTGTTTCATTTTCGCCCGTGTTAATTATATTATCTATGAATTGACAGAAAATAGTGAAAAATGTTCCTAAAGCTACTGTGCCATATTTATTTTAGATTAGTCCAAAACATAAAGGTACTAGACTTACACTAATGTATGACAAAGAGACTAAAACACAACCAACCAAAACAATTGTTCATTTGTTATCCGTCCACGCAGCATCCCGGTGTCGCTGTTCCCGGGTTCCGGCGGTAGTTGTTGTTTTGTTTGTGACGTTTGATGCGATGTTGGTTCTGCAGTGTCCGAGTGGCTCCGGCTGCTGCCTCTGCTGGGCATCCTGGCTCTGCTGGGCTACCTGACCATCCGCCCCTTCCTGCCCAAGAAGAAGAAGCAGAAAGACAGTCTGATCAACCTGAAGATCCAGAAGGAGAACCCAAGGGTGATCAACGAGATAGACATCGAGGACCTGAACAGCACCAAAGTATGTTACTGCCGCTGTTGGCGCTCCAAAACCGTAAGTCGGACACCTTCCATACGCATTATTTACTGGCTGTCACAAAACAGATGGCTACTTGCATTAGACAAGTTTTGATATATAGAAATACATGTGATGTGACATTTCACAAGGAGGAGCTGAAAGTTTCAGCATCTTGCCTCAGGGCTAATGTTCCTGGTTGTTCCCTGTTGTAGTTTCCGGTTTGCGACAGGTCACACGTAAAGCACAACGAGCTGACCGGAGACAACGTGGGACCGCTCATACTCAAGAAGAAGATGCTATAATTGGACGCTGGAGGCGCCTTTTTTTTTCTTTCGCTCACCTGTCTAACACAGTCTTTGGTTTCCACGACTAACCGTTTTTTGACTATTTCTGTCTGTTGCCGTGTTTTCTTCTTCTATTTTGGACAAAAGACTCGGTCTTGCCTTGTTATGTACACGTTTTAGAAATGTGGCAGACCAGATTCTTTACTTGAAGTGGTCCTAAAACACCTAGAAATAGTCTGTGAAAACTGTATCTTAGGTTATTTAATGAAATCAAGTGGTAAAAGCTTTTTTTCTTTTTTGGGGCCTTTGTTCATTGTGTGTGCTTACTTTAACACAGTAGCCTTTTTCTTCTGTAAATTCAGTTGTAGGCGCATCTCACCCTTTTTGGAATCTGTTACCAATCATGGGGACCACTTTGAGAGCTTGGACACAAATGCAGTGATCTTAAGATGGCTTTCAATAAGCTGAACAAGTATCAGAGCAAGTGTTGGTTTTTCCTAGTAAAATAGTTGTTTAAATGAAATACTTGATACTCGTCCAAACCGTAAACCAACGTTTTGTATTGTATGTCTTTGGACGTTTCTTAGGATTTATTTTTATTTTTGTCTGCGTGCCAAACATCTTTCTTTAAATTTTTTTTTAGGATGTGATATCTTCTCTCATAAGTTATTGTGTAGAAGGGAAATGGTCAAATATTTCTCGGTTTATAGCCTTTAAACATTTTTGTTTTACATTTTGTTTTCAACTCCGTTGCCTGTGAACATTTCAAACCAAGACATCGCTGAGTAATATCCAGTTGTGCACAGTTCCCACCTCAGTACGGAGGGGAGGTTTCAGAAAGGAACTTTAGCTCTGTTCTTTTCTTGCTTCTGTAGCGTCACACTGGCTGTGAAAAGGAAACGATGTGCTGGAATATCCCTCCTTCGATTCATCAGCAATATGTTATACATAATTTGCTTGTATCGTCAGATCTGTACACCACAATGATGCCTATGAATGAAAGTTGACGGCTTTCAGCAAATTCTCTGTTTCATTTGTTAAAGGCAATAGATGGGATGTTAAAATTGTTTTTGGCAAACGGAACTGCAGCTTCATTCCCTTCTTTTAATATTACGACCGGGTGACACTTGATGACACAGTGAGCTTTTCAATCGTGAGCTTCATGGTAGGGACAAAGGAGAAGTGGGGAGACAATCGTCCACTGTGGGATTCTTACTGTGGACAAAGTGGATATCGGGACAATTTCACGAGAATCCGATCCGTTGCTGCATCTACGGGTGAAACGCAAACCGATGGGAAGAGAAAACTTTGAAAAAGGGACAGTGATTTGAATTAAGGACATAATGAGTTACACATTGAATCCAATTGTGCACATATTTTAAATAGTAATGCTATGATTACTGAATATATTCAAAACACAGGAGAAGAACATTATCATCATCCTCAATCTTTTATTGTTTGAAGAACATTTGGTAAAAAACTAACGCTCAATTCTGTTGCTTTATCATAAATAGTTGCTAGTAATACACCATGAGGCAAAACGTATAAATTCAAATCATAAATATGAAGTTACAATGCACACTTCTGTGATAAAAAAGCAAGAAATCCAAATACAATCAAAGGTTGGGTTGACAGCCATGTTTTGAATATGGACATGATCAACATTGAGCACCCAGCCAAAGCCAAGAGTGATTATACCAGATTATGGTCATATGTACCATAATATGTACCGTATTTTCCGCACTATAAAAGGCGCACGTAAAAGCCTTTTAACTTTCTCAAAAAACGACAGTGCGCCTTATAATCCAGAGCGCTTTATATATGGATCAATTGGTTAATCGGTTGATCCATACTGGTTGTACACGGCGCTCAAGGCGCTCTGCCAAACACGCCAAAGCTCGTCTACGACGGCGAGATGCTGAGCGGCGCTCAAGCTCGTGAGATATGGAGCTTGTTTCAGGGCGCGTCGGAGAAACAAAGCTCTCGTTCTTGCCGAGCATTTAATGAGATTAAAGAGCGAGAGACGGTGCCCTTTTCTTTACAGTAGCTGAACCATCTTAACGGGGAAAATAAGTTATTCTAAAAGGAGCCCTTGGCAGGCGGCGTGGCTGGAGAGCAGCCAAAGATTTAAGGCGTGGATGGCGAGGGGGGCGGCGGGAGCGGATGCACCTCGCAGCATCGATCGGACCCTGAAAGCACCGTCTCCACCTCCCCACAATCCACCCGCCCCGACGTCAAACGTTTGACTGCAGTATCTTATGCGCCTTATGTGCCCTATATATGAAAAATGTTCTAAAATAGGTCATTCATTGGAGGTGCGCCTTATAATCCGGTGCGTCGTACAGTGCGGAAAATACGGTACTTTTCCATGTAGAGACCAAAGGAAAGTGCTGTGAATTATTGTTCTTTGGAGTACTTTCTTATTATATAAACCCACCAAGACATAGCTAATACACTTTTAGACAAAACATAGCTATAAATACACACACATCTGTACAAATATTGTCATGAGTGCGGGACACCTACAGACTTGTGTCACCTTTGCTTTAAAAACCATTAAATATTGCTACCCCAAGTGCATTCAATTATGCGCCTTTCCAAATGAAAATGTGCCCAATAAAAAAAAATGGTGTCGAGAGACAGTTAATGGATTTTTTGTCATAAAAATGGGCAAAAGAAAAAATATCCACCTATACAAAAATGTAAACCCTAGTCATGTCTCACATTAATAGAGTGCTGTGAAAAAGTAATTCCTGGTTTCTTTTTGTCACACTTAAATGTTTCAGATATCATTTAGAAATTTCATTTTGTATTTTCTCAGGTTATCTTTGTCCAATATAAACGTGTCTATGACTATCTTAAACATTTGAATGCGTCATATGAAAGAAAATAAGAAACCAGGGCAAACAGTTATTACGGCACTGTGGCTGATTAAAACTTAATTTTGGACCAAAAAACAAACAAAAGAAAACCGCCTCTGGCATATTGTCACACAACCTGACAGTGAAGTCACTCAGATGTGGGTCGTTTGTTTTGCGCCTGAGACCTGGAAAGCACCAGAGGCTATAAATACAGAGCGACGCTCGTGTTCCTGCAGCATGGCCGACAGGCAGTTATAGAGACAAAAGGGGCCACTCGGTGGCTGGAAGAAAGCTCACGCTTCCCGAGTGGGAAAGCACCTCGGAAGTCTCTTTAAATGTCCTTGTTTGCTGGATGAAGACGGGTGATATCACAGTGTGCTCTCATAGGTGACGGGAGTTTCATTGTCATCCTCTGGTTTACTACCTAGGACAGATGGAGAGGAGCAGGGAAGAAAGTCATGAGAAAAAGAAAAAAAACTTCAGTTAAGGCCTAATTTCTAGGAGTTGCACTTTTGCACCGTGCACTAGTCTATAATGGAAACAATGCCAGTGCTGTCTGAACACACAGGCAACCTATATAACTATGCAAATCCTTATTTGAGCGGCTTGCATCGGTCACAAAGGTGCGGAAGGGAAGAGCACTACAGAAAGGTTCTTCACTACTCAAACAATTGCCAAAGCAATGCGGGTGTTGAGGTGAGTCGAGAGAAGGACTTTACCTCCCTAAGACAAAAAAGCGGATAAATTGAGTTTGAGTTGCTCACCACAGGCAGAGTTCTTCGGTTTCTGTAACAAGAGTGGCCCAGCGAGCCCGATGAGGAGAGCTCCTATGGGGGCTGTGATGAGGATGGCCAGCACCGCCACAGTCAGCACATCCATGCTGTACTTCTGCAGCTGCACGTCGCCCTTCGTCCTGGCCATGTCCAAAGCTGTGGAGCCTATGGCTGCCTGATGAGCAAAAAGGACAGGAGGGTTTTCTCCTTTGGTCCCTTACAAGAGACGTTCAAGCACCACAATGATGGTCAGGGAGAACATTTGAGTGTTTGATTTTATTAGATATGCACAACAAAAAGAGGACACACTGTAAAAGTATATTGCTCAGGATCATGAGTCTGCTGCTGGGAAATACCTGCACTGTGGCTTTGGGCATCCACGCTAGGGATATGAACACTTTTTCCCGCATGTTAAAGCCCGCACACAGCACGCAGACAAAGGTGAACAGGATTCTAACCAACAGGGCAATGAGCAGTGTGGCGATACCCAGACCTGGACAGACAGATAGACGAGAGGTGTTACAACGCATCGGTTAGGCTGCTACATAAAAAAAAAACACCATTATTACATCACTACCACTTCCCCTTAACTCTTGTGGGTAAGGAAGGGCAAAGCTGAAAAAAACAAGAAAATTAAAAACACACACAGACAGGAGGGCTGAATGGGGCCTCAATGACACATGAGATCCTAAATAAAAATAAAAATAAATAAATTTATAGTGTGCATCAATCCGATGTGGGCATTTTATAGAATGACATATCGTAATTTGTTCAAATACCATTTTGGAATTTGGATGGAAGTGTAGTACAGGAGTGCCAAGCAGTATTCGGTTTTACCGGACACACATGGAGCTTAAAATCTCCTCTGGCCCGCTCTTTGAAAAATGGAAATATACTCTATTTACATCCATGCTGCCACATTTGAATCTCTCACAGTAAACAGTCATCTGAATTTGTTATTTTATGTCTGTGTGGTTGTCTCACCAACTGTGAGTCCGTCCAGCTCTAAAACTCGAATTTCTGCTCCGATAAGTCCGAAGAGTAGAGGCTGGAAGATGTCCCACGCCCACCCCACCACTTCCTCCACATGCGCCTTCACACAAAAAGAACACACACATTGTTGAGACGGCTATCATTGAGATGCACCAGTGTAGACAATGAAGGACTTACTGTACGACTAGGTAGGTTTGTAAAAACTATGCTGGATAAAATTTGTTTGTGAAACGTAACGTAATTCCAAATATCTCTAAAAGAAAAATGGATCATTGCGAGTACAGAGACGAATATTATCCGTTTACCCAGTACATGGTAGCTATTATGTTATCACCTTTTCTGAGCCCCAGCCGAGGCCAGCCAGGAAAGCCAACACCAGGGTGCAGAGGCCTCCGGAGCCAGGAAACCCGGCCACGCCGCTGCCGAACACAGCGAAGACGGACAGGCCCAGCACCAAGAAGGATCGCTTTATGACCAAGTGTTTCTAAGTGGAAAGGACGGTAATTAGACATAGAACATATCTAAATCTATAAATAACAAATGCTCTATGAAACACTCATAAGGCGCTGGTCGATACTAAGAAGTTTGTGGCGCTTTATAGCAGTTGTTAATCTCAAAATGTAGTTTACTTGCATTTATTCAAACTGAAAGTTTTATTTTTCAAATTCTAAAAAAAGAAATACTAAGTAAGATAAATACATCATCAATTCAATTCACATCACAGGCTGTTGTGTATGGACTAAGCAATAACAAAAAAGAGTAGCTAATAGAATAGTTCATGCAGAAGGAGCACGCATACCTGGTCAACACTAGGAAAGTACTGGATGAGGAAGCCAAGAACAAGCCCAAGAACCGTCCCCCCGGCCACCTCCAGAACACCTCTCAGCAGGTTGAACCAAGTGGAGCCTAAAAGGAGCCGCAGAGAAAATATACAACATAGCAATTGTCGGAAAAGTGTGTAGACGTTGAACATTCATGACCGTCACTGATGGTATTATTCAACTCTTTAAATGCGGTTTCATAAAGCCCCAAAGAGGCTCTACACCAAAACTCACTGTGACTGAAAAAACAAATGGCCCACTCACACCCTCTGCTGAGCTCCTGATAAACCACACATAGAACTTACTTCAAATACGTTTGCCTTCTGAACATGAAACTTCCCCTGCTTACCGGTGGCAAAGGCCATTCCCAAGCAGGTGGTGAACCCTGTGATGGCAAGGACGTCGTCGAAGCTGCCTGCAGCCATCAGCAGGGTGGGGATGCCCTGCTCCACGCCGTAACCGTCCTTCTGCAGCAGCAGCATGGAGGGCACCACCACTGCTGGGGACACAGCACTCAACACAAAGCTACAATTTGGAGGAGATGAAAATAAAAAAGAATGAAAAAAATAACAACAACATCAAGGCTTTAAATATGCTCAAAAGGTATTAAATATGTTTGGAGATATTCAAAACACTAATTCATTTCACACTATTATTTGATTGTCTGACAATGATCATTTGCCAGAGCTTGAAAGTTCTGCGACCAACCTTGAAAAATAAAAAAAGTAACCTCTTGAAAAGGGAAAAGTTGCAGATTTTACCAACTTCAAATCGTTTCAATGTGGGATACATGCGCAAATTTCCTCCATCCCTCAAAAATTGACATTTGAGTCAGATGAAATGACAAAGTCTGATATCTGATATTTCTATTGTGCCTTTTGACGTCACACAAATACTGACATGGCAGAAATATGAAGCTCTGAGAACTGAAAAGACTGATAACACTGCAAATAAATGGAGTACGTCAAAAGTGTCATTTGTATTTAAGAAAATATACGAATATTACACAAAAACTTGCCTAGTCAAATCAAAATGACTGCTTCGAAACTGTCAAATTGAATTAACCTTTAAACCTTTATCCTAGCTAACAAATTATTTATTAATGATCTGATACAATGAACTTACTATTTCTTAATGTTTCATGAAAAAAAGAAGATAATTACATTCATCAAAGGAACGGTGTCTGTCCTAGAAATACTGTCATGGCCATAGAGAGCTTGTTATTATGTAGAAGCGTAAGAGCGGGAGCTGGAGCAGGAGAGTGGGTAGCGTTGTATTTACCCAAGGATGAAGCCCCACACCCAGGGCAAGTCCATGAGGAAGTGAGAGATCACGGCTGTGGTGCAAGCCTCTAGAATGCAGGGCCCAGAGGCCACACGCAAACATACCGATTTCAGTTTCCTCAGAGCCTGACAAAACAGACACACACAGACACACACGTCATTCCGGAGTTTGTCACAGTAATTCATTTAAAGGATGCTTAGTGGTACCTAAAGAGACACTGATGCAGGACAATCTGAAACTATAGTTGACAACATTGCTGCATCATCTAGTAACATTGTTTTTCTTAATTTATCCCTGGAAATGATACGATTTTTTTGATCTTTGAACATTCCTGTCAGCAGATATTAACTTGCCATAGTGTATGTAGCGTACCGTGGGATCCAAGCCCAGGCCAGCTCTGGCCAGAATGACAGCCAGAGCGATGTTCCTCAGTGAGGCGGACCATTTGAAGTCGATGTACACCCCCTCCTTTATAACGGGGATGTTTCTCAGCATGAAACCCATCAGGAGCATACCTGCAACACAGCGGAGGGTGCGAGAGAGGACAAATGATCCAGTAGGACGGTCTCTCACACAGATACACGTGTTGCTTTTTGGAAGTGAGAGTGCTTTGTTTGGGACACGGGAGACACTGAGACCCACTGTCTTACTGCACTAACAATTTGAGTTTCAATACCCAAACTTCTCTAAAAAGACACCTGCCAATTTCTATCTTGAAAAACATTACAATGTGTAAAATAAACTTGAGAATATAGAATAGTATCATAATACAATATACAATAAAATAAAATGTTTTTTTATATAAAATCCATGACAGACCAATGATGAACTGCAACAAGGAAAGTTACACATAAAGAAACACTAAACACTGTTAATGCGTCACACTTTGGACTGAACACAATCTTCTTCTATCATTATCAGAAACTGACACTGAACCGGTAAAAAAAGTGAAACTCAAAATTTATCCCAGCTAATCTGTTGAAGTTATTTGCGAATAAGGAGTTGCTGATCTTTATCGTGTTAGGGGCGTAGCGGTAGCAGAGATTAGGATTGCCATTCTCAAAGTCAAAACACCAGGAATTCATACAATATTGAATTCAAACCATTTCCCACTGCTAAAAAAAAGATTCTACCACTATGATCTGATCAGTGTGTTGACTTCATCCAATAATGATAATGAAGCTTTCTCTCAGCTCATGTAAAAACCTGGACCCTGGATTAGTGACAGCATATGTCTCCTATCCAACATCATTTGATAAATACCGGTATCCCTGACGTGTATTTTTAAGATAGCGGTGCCATTATCGTGTGGGCTAACAATAAAGAAATACCAGCAAACTACTAAAAGCTCCCAACAGAATCCAAAGCAACAGCAGCTACTGTGTACTTAATAAAGAACAGAACAAGTGAGCAGCATGGTTGTTCAGTTAATCAGGAACTCAGTTTTGACCTTATGTTCTCTTTTCTAAATTAATAACAAAGGTGAAATGACTCAACCGGAGCATTAACGTTGGTACAAGCCACCAAATGAATACGCCTATGGCTACAAATGTGCAAAAATCACCACCTTAATTCATAAATAGAGAATATCATACAGCATGTATTTTATAGCATTAATGTCTGCCTGCCCAGTTAATGTTAACTTAATGCTTCTCAAAGACATTCAAGTCTACTTTTAGATTATTTTAGTGCTTCAACTGACATAAATAAAACTAATTTGAAAAGCAGTTGTGAAAAACAACTACCTCAAATCCTGGTATGAATGCATTTATCTCTATACTGATCAATCTGCTTCAGGTGTTGTAATACAGTGGTAAATAATGAATAATGAGCGTTTATGTAATCTGCCTAATTGTTCTCAACAGACATATGACAGGCATTAAGCAGTTGTAACGCTGACCAAAATGTGCTGTGTTTTGTTACTAAACATCACACCGGCAACTGTGTAACTAAATGAAATGACTAAATTCTAAGTCTTACCGAGGAGAGGTGGGAACGGTGGCAGTTTGGGCAAACGGATGAGAGCCACCACTTTGCCACCGATGAGAGCACAGATGAAGAGGATCGTGATGCCAAACAGGTTACCGCCTGGAAGACACTCGTCCTCAGTGATGGACCACACCACTCCAAAGAGCACAGCTGCCAGAAAGACTGCGGAGGAACACAGGCAGGGGACTGCTATTAGATTGTTGTGTCACCTCATAAATAAGGGATAGTGATAACAAGATCATTACCGGTTTTGTTTGTAAGGTAAGTCACCTAATAAATACAAAGAGTGGGTCAATGATTGCGGTGGGAAAGAAACTGTGACTATACAATATTACATTATTACAGAGCGAATCCTAGGTCACTGAAGCAAAGCAATTTGAGAAAGAGGTTAATCTTTTACAGTATATAAAACAGTATACAGAGTGCAGTCTGCAGCAGGACGAGCCAAGCCTGCAGAATCTGTGGAGTTTATAGAAGGCAGGAGCACGGAGGAGGAAGTGACAATAGGTAAGCTATTGGAAGATATAATATCTGCAGTTTTTACAGCCTTGTGTGTAGCAAGGGATTGATAACCCTAACGGATGTGTGACCCCCCCACCCCTTACTTACCTTTAGTAATAAGCGAGGCCAGAAGGCCTCTCGGTGGACAGGGGCAAAATCTGTGCAGCAGTGGGCAACAGACCACTGGCGGGTCCGTGTTGGTGCCGGCGTCCACCACCGGGTTTCGAGGGATAAAATAAGTGGTCTCCTCCATGACATTTGGACTGGAGCAGCGCCGTACCACCACCTGGATCTGGTCCACATTCAGGTGCTGGAGGATGAGGATCAGTGTACGCATGATGCCTTGTCAGAGGACTTTAACACCACATCTGTATTTTGTAACAATCTTGCTTTGATAAGAATGACAAAACTCATGACATCACAAGCTGGATTAATATGCATTAGTGTAAAGATGCTTTGAAAATGAATAATGCATTTAAATGCAATATTGACACTTCATATGGGAAGATTGTGAAAAGATTTGCACAACCTGTATTTAGCGTTGTGCCGTATCTACTATATCAGCAGATTACAGGCTACAGGTTTCTTAGCGAATAGTACAGAAAATTTAAGATGGACAACAAGTTACGAAGTTTTATAGCAAAAACATTAAACATAAATCCACACAGCTGACTAATGTGAGGGACATAGAAGAGCCACATCGTTTACATGTTGCTAAAATATGTTACATTACATGTCATTTAGCAGACGCTTTTATCCAAAGCGACTTACATTACACTTTTAAACCCATGACTTTTTCACATTTTTGCCTGGGGAGCAATTAGGGGTTAGGTGTCTTGCTCAGGGACACTTCGACGTGGAACATGGGGCAGCCTGGAATCGAACCAACAACCTTGTGCTTCCCAGCACACCTTCTCTAACCCCTGCGCCACGACGACCTTGTTCACTGAATATAGGCTATATAATCACTCTATACACATTATCAGACTCATAAACACATTTTAGGTTTCACTAAGACTGTAACAACAGATTATAAGGTTATACAAAAGAACAGGGGGAAAAAAAAGCTATACCTCCACATTGTTTGATGCAGGCCCAGCAATTCTGTCCACCACTGGACTGGGAGCCGGACTGGGTGCCGGACTAGGAGCTGGACTGGGTGCCGGACTGGGTGCCGGACTGGGTGCCGGAGTGGGCAGCAGGATGTGCTCCTGGGTAACAGCCTTGGGCTGAGTGTCCTCCATGGCAGACTGGCAACAGACTTTGCGATCCACTGACTTTTCTCTCACAGCACATCCAGCCGAGGGGCGGGGTTGGCCATTGATGGGCTGTTCCTTCACGGCTGCTTTTGTTGGTCCGGCTCTGACAGCAGGCTCCTATCCACAGAACATCGTTTTATCAGTAGACAGAAACAAATTAGTGTTTACTTAAGGCACGATTGATGACAAAAAAAAGGTGCTGGCCTGGGTTTCTCTTCCAAATAGAACACTCACAGTCAAAATGTCAATTGTTTAAGTAGTTAGTGTGCTGCAACATGCTGCATACCTTGTTCGGTATTCAAGTCAATCAAATAGAAAATACAGAAATATGTGCCCAGCTCGTGGTAGCAATAGATCATGCCATGTTACACGCACACGTTCGTTGTTTCGTACTATTTTGGTTAACGTTAATCCACTCGCGATCAGGGCGCCCTAATCAATGCTTACAGCTCGACCATATGGCGCACGCAGCTAGTGGACGCCGGGGCGAGCAGGCTACCGGCCATCTGACGTTAAATACACAGCCGGGAAGGGGGGCGTCCTGGCGCTTGGTCCAATGCGCGGCCGGAGAGGCGTCCACTTGAGGAATAGCAGCTGATGTGACGTCAAGGCTAATTATTAGCTCACGTCATCGAAGACGTTAAATCCACGCCCCACGTCGGGACGGAGACCCTGGACCCATTCTCGGACAAGGACATTCCCCCTCTTTCCGAAACAGCAGCTAACGGGCGCTGCTACCATTTTAACTACGCTGACTTCAAATGTTATTCTAGCATCATTATCGTTAGGTCCTTAACGTCGCATACCCAAAGACCGGCCCTCCTCTGCGCGTGATGCCCCCAAAACAACCCGCGTTAAGTGAAGGAAGGGAGGAAGGAAGGAAGCTCACCTCACCTCTACACATGGGCCTCCCGCGTGGGCAGATAGAGCAGCTGGGATTTGGGAATGAGGCGGATTAGCGATGGCCGAGCAACGTTAAGTAAGTAAGTCCCGCGCTCAGGAGGAGGGGTGGAGGGGTTAGTGGGGGGTGGTGACAGAGAAAAGCCACTCATGGGTATCGGTGAAGAAGACGTTTTATTTGATGTGTAAACATATTTCATCATTGTCCACATGACCAGATTGCTTTGTGAAATATTACATGAATTATTAATTTCTAATAAGGCGGTGCCCGCGTGATTAAGTCCATTTATTACAATTCCAGACAACATATTGCAACGTGGCTATACATAGAAATCCAGCAGGGACTTGGCGATTGTTTCCCACAGAATCAATGGAATAGCATGCAAAATTAAACAAAATGATCAACTCGTTCTTCTTCTTCGAAATGGCCTGAGCATAAAACCGTTTCCTCAGAGTCTCCATCCTCCATCTATGATTTGCTCCGTCCCCGTCACATAGGCAGACTGTGAAAGAGCCGAGAAACATCAGATCACAACTTAGTCTGCATGTATCCCGATGGATACTAAGCATACCGTCAGGGACAAAGCCAGCGATTTAGACTTACTGAGGTTACAAGTCCAAGTAAATAATGTCAGAAAATAATTGCTTATTTTAAATTGTATGTGTATTTATTATCAACACCCACTAGGCTGCAAAGCCCCTCAAATTTCTAAAATAAATACAAAGTACCTGGACCGTCACGTAGCTGCGGCCCTGACTATTGATATAATGTGCCACATGACTTGAGTGCATTATCCACAAACACTCACCTCATCTGAGGCCAGGTAAACGCACAGGTACGCCACCTCCTCAGCAGTGCACATTCTGCCAGTTTTCTGCCGTGCCATAAAATCCTTATAAGCCTGAGGAGTTAGAGAGAGCGGTGTTATAGTTGGAACACGTATTATCTCCACTGCAAAAAAGACCTCTTCTTGTGCAAAACAAGATAAAATGTCCTTGTGAAATGACCCATGCGGGCATTACTGTCAGCTTAATATTGGAAAATGAATGTTGAGCCTACTATACCTGCTCTGGGTCAGGTTGGGCCTCAATCCTACCCCTCAGTGATGGAGTATCAACAGTACCTGAGAAATAATGAAAAGAGAAACCAAGATTTTTTTTCTTAAACCTTCATTAACACAACAATATTAGATACAGAAATGTAGATAGTGTTTGCAAAGCAGTTATTCAGACTGACCTTCGAGGGACAACCTCAAGGTTTGTATATCTTGGAAATTCACAATGTCCTCAAACATGGGAAACCATAACATGTTTTTTATAAAACATCAGTTTTGATTACTTTTTCAAGGATGGCTACAGTACATTGTTATCTATTGAAATGCCAGTGACCTCCGGTTATACTTGATGAGGAGCCTAAGCCACGCCTGGTTTTTTTATTGCGCATCGCCCTGAACTTACCAGGACAGACACAATTGCAGCGAATGCCTTGCTCAATGAAATCGGCCGCTATAGATTTGGTGAGCCCGATCACGGCGGCCTTGGAGGTACTGTAGACACACCGGTTCACGACACCTGTGTCGAGGAAAACGTATCTGTCACTCACACAAAGACACGCGCTGAGCAATTATCGCGGCTAAGAGGATTACAATGAACATGGTCATACTTCAACTACTTAATGCCGCTTTACTTGGGCCACAATATTCTACAGTGTGAAGCTCTGCAGAAGTGTATCTACCTTTAATGCTTGATGCAACCGATGCCATGTTGATGATGTTTCCGGACTTCCTTGCCAACATCTAGAACACCAAAATAAATCAGGAAGGTAATTGGCAGAAGGATGAGTAAAATGACTTTGGTTTTCATTTTTATGGAACAGATAAATGAGAATCGCCACTTGATTTAAGATAAAAATGCCCATTGAGACGGTTTTGTTATCTGCGCCTGAAGCTGGATAAGTGATTGTGCAGTCGCCACCCATCATGCCTTAGGCTCAGAGTAATACAGTTAATCCAAGCGCACAAAGGATAAGAAATGAAAAGCATAGGTCATTCCATTTAAAACAGCAGCTGTTCCCTTCTCTGGACAGCAGGAAGAGCAGTGGTAGGCGTTTGGGTAAAGTGGGCAAAGGTCACCTTGGGCAGGAACGCCCTGCTCATGAGGTACATGCTCCGAACGTTCACGTTCATGGTGAAGTCCCAGTCAGCGTCTTCGCAGTCCAAGATGGAGCCGTGGTGCACAAACCTGCAGACAGTAGATGACACGTAAGTCACTATATTGCAAAAGGATAGTAGGACATAGATATATCGCTTTATCTAAGAGATATAGTAATGTACTGTATATGTCCGACAGATGCATTACTATTAAACTGAAAGTAAATGTAGGTCCAAGTGCTGCGTTACTGCGCCTTATATAGTGTTGATTTGGAGACTGTTGTTAAGAAGATTAATAAAAGGTCAAGTGGAGGTTAAACCATACGGTGTTTGATAAATATGCTCAATGTGGGAACAGAAAAACACAGTAGCACCGTTATTCACCCAGTATGTCGAAGGGTGAGCGTTGGTAATACTCTAAACATTTGTTGTCAAAAAATCCCACAAAAGTTACAAACCAAAAATATGTCACATAATACTATATAACATCTCTTTCTAAAAACATAAATCTTTAAAAAATGGCGTAATTATAAAAAAAAAGTAATCCTCTAAAATGATGTTTTCAAACTTAATTTCTGATGATAAAAACCAACACGACCAATATCCCATCTTTCTATGCGTGTGTCACTGCGAAAAAATAAAGAAGATTAATGAAGTGATTATCAATATACCTATCTATCAAAAAACATAAATGCACGTGTTAAAATACTTTATGTAAAGCAGGAACTCACACAGAGCGGAGGGGAAACGTACCCAGCAATATTGAACAGCACATCCACGCGGTCATGTTCCTTCGCTAGGGCTTCAACTTGGTCCTTCTTCGTCACATCCACCACCTTAGTCTTGATCCCTGTTAGTGAAGAGAGAGAGCTCTTTGGTTCTGGAGAAAAGGTACTTGGTTAAATGACGTTCGACCGGCCTTTTAAAACGTAGAAATACAACCGTCTTCCTCTTTAGTATTCAAAAGTATACTCCTTTATTCCAGGAAATACTAGTTAAAAAACAGGAGGTCAGCAACCTAAATAAACAAGGGTCTATCAACTGTATTGCCGACGTGATACAAACACAGCATAGACCGTCTAGCGTGTCTGTTATTGCGAAGGCAATTACAAAAGGTGTAAATTGAACACTGGTTACCCAGCAGGTGGCAGTCTCAGAGCAGCAGAAATGAATATTACCTGCAATGCCGTCCAGCTCTTTCAGCTTCTCTCCGTTGATGTCCGTCGCCGTGACTTGTGCTCCCTCCTTTGCGAACGCCTCCACGGGGGAAAAACGAGAAAATCAGTGACACAATGTCTGCACATGTCATGTGACTTTTAGCCTGGCATTCCTCTGTAGAAACAATTAAAATATTAGCCAACATTTTAGTTCTAAAAAAAGTGCATGGCTATTTTTTTTAAAGAACGGTTGAGAGAAAAGTGAAAGCCCGATAACTTTGATCAACTTCTAACTGAAAGTGAACGACCATCTAAATCAGTCAGTAAATTAGTCACTTTCCTGACTTCCGGCCTTAAATCAGGACAAAGCGCAGACGCGCCAATCTCATTACCACATATCTACAATGAATTGTTGACCTTAATCTTTCAACCCTCTGTGTGAATCCGTCCCACTCTGGTCAGCTGCTAGTTGATGCAGCGACTGCATCATTAAAATGCACATTTTAAAGTCTAAATGTAAAAAGCTCAATCAACCCCTCACACCACATGCAATTATTTGAATACTATGTTATTTGAACCTAATACCCCACGATGTAAAAAGACCTCTCTATATTTAAATTCCTCCACACTGCATAGGACACAAACCTCTGTAATATAAGGCACAGTTTTAAAGACATCACTTGAAGGAAATGAATTTGCAAGGAAGTATTTTGCAATCTCTTTGGGAAGAATACTGTTGATTGCATCATTTTAGATCTCCATTACTGTTGCCGCGCTTTTTAAATGGCTGTTAGAGATGAGATGTCACAATTAAACTGTCATTTGGCTTTCACGAACAATTCTTGGAAATGTGTAATGAAGTAAATATCTGTACTGCTATGACACACACACACACACACACGCACAAGCTATACAACAAAGTCATTTTGTAGTGTGTCAGTGGATTAAAGCTCATTACTATTGCTGCAGCACGTCCAATCCCCTGAGCGCCGGCTGACAAGACAATCACTTTCCCGTCGAGGCGACCCATGGTGCACGTCTCACTGCTGCTGCGATGAAAACAGACGAGGAATAAGACACTGCATGCAGGTTCATTTAGATGATAACGGTGTGTCTTTGCTCCTGGTGAGCATTCATAGGATAATTGCAGAAACTAATGACACATGTTGACAATACAATTGGTAGGTCCAAATATATGAAATTATACGTAAAAAATATTTGCAGCACTGTTGTCCAATGTCCAACTATTGAGTTTGTTGCATTTGATGACGGACAGCCTCAGAGAACCACCTCATGAGACCAGTAAGCGGTATTAAGCATAATAAAACCTAATGCATGTGGTGTAATGACACATCTTTTGTATCTGTAGGGCCATAATTTATCAGGTGTAAGAAAAAAAATCTGTTTTATTACTAGAGACACGTAGCCAACGGTCAAAGGCCTTATGAGGAAATATGGCATTGTATCTTATATCTGCAGAGACGAGGTCACTATCTTATCGTTAAGGTTCAGTAATAAATATGCATACTACCCATAATAAACCTCAGTACAGTACTAAACTCATTGACACAATTGACACCCCCCAAAATATGAAAGCTGCCTAGTTAAATTAAATAAAATGTATAAAAGGGGAAACATTTCCCTGACTTTCTTACATTTAAAAAATAGATTTTTGATATGAGCATGATGAAGTATGACTGCTGTGTTACCTTCCTACCTGAGGATGGAGCTACTCAGCCTTTTGACGAGGTTTTTAGTTTGTTGCACTGGAAATGGAAATGGGAAAAAAGGGCAAAACGTTGCAAAGGGCAAAACGTTGTGTTTTTCTTCAGAGATATAATTTGCAAGTATTTTTTTGCTAAAATAAGGAAATATGTCGATCATTATCTCGAGATAAAAAGTGTTAGAAAGTGTTTGAATCGTGTGCATGTGTAACGGAGGAAATGGGATTCCTGGATGTAGAAATGTCGCAATGCTTTGCAACAATGGTTTGTTGGAGTTCACCATAGGGTTGTCATTCTTTTTTACGGGGGGCTTAGTTGCAAAGGACTGTTGGTTTGAATAGGTTTATATTTGATATGGGACCCAAGTGCTGCTCACCTGTTGCTTGCGATCTAATTGTATTCATTTTCCAACGATTACTTTAGTGCTTTTCCTTTTACTGTGTAACCAAAGCCTGCACTCACTTCTTTGATTCAGATCGTTACATAAAGCGGTTTCTTTTACGTCAATCCAAACGTGCTTACGTTCATAGTGCACGCAGTAGCTGTCGTTTTTACATTGAACCTACTATGCATAGGTTGCAAAGTCAAATAAATACCACGAAAAACGCAACAGAAACTCACCTTCGGTCAGTTCCGGGACGTAAAAGACGTGAAGGAGGAGCACCACACGTGACCTAATGTTTGTACCGCTATTGCCTCCGGACCCGGAAGTGAGTGCAGCAGCGGTTTGTTGTAACCCGAGGAGAAGAAATGCCAGTGAGTATGACCTGGTATTCTCTGCTCGTTTTACTTATACTATATATAGTTTTTATCTGTAATATAATACATCTATTTTTCTTCTGGTTGGTGGAAAATGTCTTGATAATTAAATGATAAGCTTTGGAATGACTCTAGAGATCTGCATAGGCCCAATTGTAATTGCGTCAATTAAAACAGAATATTGTAACCTTAATTGAGGTCATAGCTTGCTGCGGCAGGGTGTCAACTGAAAATAATCTTTTATTTGTGATATAAGTCAGCGCTGGATACCAAGCACTCCTTGTACGAGCAAAAATAAGTCCTTAATGTACCCAGAAGAAAACAAGAAACTCACAAAAATAGTGTGCTGTAAACCAACATTAGGAACTAAACCCAAGTGTGACACGTCAATAGTTGATTGCTTTTGGTGAATTCATTACATCTTATTGTATTCCATAATCCGCCAACTCAATGCATTTTGTTCCTCTGCTGTACTTTAAATATTTTTTTTCGCTGTGATTTTATCTGCTCTGAAGTGAAAACAAAGTACGGCTTTGCTTTCTGCTATATTCATTTGTCTGTAAGAATAAAGGCAGAGGAACAATGAATGTGTGTGGAAGACAGAAACACAATGATATCGCTTACATTGGTTCCGTCAAACGATTAAATATGCAAGAACATTTGGCGAAAAGATGCATCAGCCTCAATATTCACAATATACATGTTTTATTTGAGTGAAATGTTGCATATCATGGTTCTATAGGAATTTTTGATTTTATTGTCAGTTTTCATTTCACAATTGAACTATATACTATATAGAGATATACATTGCTTTACACTTTTATTTAAATTAAGTATCATACTTAAACTACACCACGTTCGATTAGATGAAGAAAAAGCACTCTATAAATCCTTCGATGTCAAATTTTAACTACATTTGACTTTGTAAAAGCTTTATCAATGATATCCACTTTGTCAGGCAAATTCAGCCAAAATACATAAAGACATCGTCTTAATCGTCTTTGATTAAACCTGCAGCTATTCAGAAATTGTTTAATGATCGAACAAAAAAAGAAATATATCAGCTAAAGCTTTCTCCTTCCAGTCAATGTAAAAAGAACAGTCTGCAGAAACCTCTCATTCTACATGTACTTCCAACACTCATGCAGTGAAATATCCTTATAATTAGTTTTCTGCTACGACCTCATCTTGATCAACTCACTATTAGTAAAAGACCACATGATCAGTCATTAAGAAGAGCTTAATAAAACTGAAAGAAGATACCTTTTATAAGTGGAATAGAAAAATTTAGAAATGAGGAAATAGGCTTTTTTTCTAATTTATGATACTGAAGGCTCTTTTTTAATGCTTTTTAATATGTGGAAAAAAAACAATTGTTACTGCAGTCTATTATTTTTGATTAAATAGATAAAATATAGTATGAATTTAATGCCACTAAATTATTGAATCATAGTTTGGCCTCTGATATGTGCTGCTGCACTATTACTGGTCGGGTCAGTAGGCTGTAGAATGGAAAAGATGACTTTTTTATCACTCATGAGAAGGTAATTACTGGCACAAACACCAAGAGCATGAAATAGCTTGCAGCACAACCCAGGTTCTTATAAGTGCACTGAGAATTTCCTCATAATGAATTACAATTACATTTTGAAATGACATATTGATTACAAAGTCCACCTGTCCGACTAGGCCTCTTTTACCTGCGCCAAATTTATCGGGTGGATCTTGACATCAAGGCAAAATAATTAGAAATGTTTTGTCACATATTTTCTTGAAAAATAATTGCAGCTACCTAAGAGGCGACATGGTCGATGGCTCAGTGTTAGTGTCCGGACCAGCAGCAGCAGCAGCCCCGGACAGAGAAGGAACATTGATTTCCATGGATTCGCTGCAAAATCCCATCAACAATTTCCAACCTGCAATAGTTGTATTCCATCATTGCAGGAATACGTCAACACAGAGGAAGGAACGATCGTTGCCGTTTCTCCTGTCGCAGTAAAAAACGGCCACCCGAATGTAACGTAGTGTTTTCACAGGGCTTGAATCAAGCACCGGCTGGACACAACGTGAGAAATCTGGACTTTCATTCAAGCTTTTGAAGATGACTCGAAGAAATCTATCACAAGCTCTAACACAAAGTCCTGTCGGTTGTTCCCAGCCGTGCGCTCGCACAAGCTTTATTCAAACAGAACGCATCGGCTCCAGTGCTGTGCAAACTCCGAGAGGAGGATTTGTGACAGGCCAGTAAATGTATGAATCCTCACTTCTAAGGGCTTCAAGTTGAAGAATCGTTGTGTTTTCGCTTTGTTAGGATGATTCATTTGCACAGAGTGGGTCCTCTTCCCACAGCCAGCTGTGATGTTTCTACACAAGTCTTCTGTTTAATCCACAAACACAAAACCGAAGTAAGGAGAACCATTTGTGATTTTTGCTAACAAGTAACGTGGTGTAAATACTGTTTGGCATTTTTTGGCAAACAACAGTCTGTTTTATTGACTTTTCAGCTGGCCTGCGACATTTAGTTGTTTCAATTCAATTCAAACAAAAATGGTATATGGTTCACAAAATTCATAAATGATGTCGTGTTTGGTCCCAAAACAATTGCGTTCCCCATTCCTTTTCGGCATTGTCAGGGAAATTTGTTGCCGTTGCCGTTTTATTAAAATGTGCTAATTTTTCTTTTAATTCTTCCTAGGACCAAAGTCCTGTTTTTGTTTGACCCATATCTTGAATGACGTATGCTATGTCAGTTACCGGACGCTGCGGGTGGATGCATTACATGTGTGGCTAAACACGCGTCAGCATGACATGCAGAGGAGACGTGGCCCGGCTGTGTTGTTCGATATGTCGGGAATGAGAAGGGGTTGACTTTGAAATAACTCCTCCTATGTGAAAAATATGTGCTCTGCTCCGAAATCTATTCATAACACTGATTGTAATGACAGAATTCCTGTTGGGATTTATGGAGCTCCAAACCTCCTGTGCTTTATGTGTACAAGACAAACGATGTGAATCTAATCTAATGTGCCCGATGGAAGTGCATATACACTTTAGACAACAATATGGCTTTTTGATTAACTGCTAAGAATGTTGTTGTTTGTTCTAACAACCAAACATGAATCATATTTTCCTTGCCATTAATTTGCAGCACTCCGATGTTCCCACGGCACCATAATGACAGGAACAATTCATTATCGCATTTATAACCGAGTGCATAACACATAAAAAAGGAACGTTCTATTCTGTGCAAAGGAAAGAATATTGAAAATATTGAAAGAAGATTGATTGATAAGATTGGAATGATTATGGAGACAAAAAAGATATTGAGCAAATGATTGCCAACCAGAAGATTGGAATTCCACGCTGCAAAATCTGAGATGTGGCAGTCATTCATTTGAAATTCACTACTCCTCCTTCTTTCAAAACAAAAGGCCGACTCTTTGTTCCAGGACTCCGAACAGGGGAGAGGGGACAAAATAAATCCACAGCAGCGTAAAGACAGACTTTAACTTTTTCTTCCTCTTACTTATATTGAACATGGATTGACAATATTTGCCATAAATATACAACACAATTAATCCAGCTTCGTAGCTCTTCATGTGTTCCCCAGTGAACCCCTCTCTCTCTTCAACTTTGAATAATGTGCACTTTGTTGCTGCCCTTGTAGTTGCAGAGCCTCATCACAATGGCTCACGGTCTGTTCCCCATCACTGTTTGTTAACATGCTGCAATTCTTGCTCCAGGGCGTCATTTTTTTGGTGCATGGTTCATTTTTTTGCATCTTCAAAATCTTCCCGCGTTGAAAGTATTGAAATTCCTGCCGAAATTTTTTTACCTGCTGAGCTTGTTAGGAAAGATCACTGTTATTTTCTGTGCTCAGGGAGCACCTCACCCATTAATGGTTGACTGTGAGAGTGCCGTGGTCGAGATACGACAAATCCACCTGTAGACGTTTCAAGGTTGGTTCGGCATTCATTAAAAGGACATACGGGTGGTTTGGCATTGCGGTGGGTGTGCACATGGCTTTGTAAATCCGTGTGCAATCTTTTTTGGCTTGTAATATTTTCTTTCAAATCTTCAATAAAAGCTCCGCTTTAGTTTTGCAAACTGAACCTTTTTGAGTTCCCCAAAATGTTATTCATGAAATCACGTCCGACAGTTAATGTGAATGAACATTTACCACCATGATGTTTTTATTTAGCCCCCGCTACATGGTGCGCTTGTGTATGTCCTTTGATGAAAATAATTGATACTTGCAAGACAGACGGGCTTCTCAGCAGGAACACAAAAGTATTCTTGTATGACCAACACATGTATTCCAAATGCTATATATATACAGTTTGAAGGAAACAGCTAGGGGGGAGGGGGAGGGGGGGCGGTAGTGCATGAGACTATTTCTTCGGTTCTTGGGATATAAAATAAAACAAGTTACACTGAAAAGCAAGCTTGACATTTGACATTTTCTTTAAATTAATTACAAGGCTACCAACATGACGAGCACAAGTTTCATGAAAAATACATTGTGTGTTATTCAAGAACATGTTGCTATGGCCAGTCAATATCATCCTTAATGTATTATTGTGTACTTAACCTCTGCATGTATCAATATAAGACTGTTTTGCCATCTCAACAAAAGGTTAATGTCAGCAAGAGCAAAGACCTTCTCTAAGGCAAAACAGTGTGGATTATTTAGGTACAAATGTACTCAGGTTCATGCACATTCATTAGAGTTGAATACTTTACTAGTTTAGATCAATGTTAAATGCCCTTTAGATGGATATTTGGTTCAGGTTTTGAGATTTCACACTATGTTAATGCTTCATTCGTTGATTTATAGACCACAAAAGGGCAGAAAGAAAAGCAGAGAAACAACATTTTAACAAGCAGTTGCCTACTATAATATCCAGAATACACACATGTGTCTAATGATTGAAAGGCAGATTCATAGTACCGATGTTAACTGTTAACTAAAACATT